TATTATTATTATTATTATTATTATCATTGTTATTATTATTATTATTATTATTATTATATTATTAAATATTATCATTATTATTATTATTATTATTATTATTATCATTATTATCATTATTATTATTATTATTTATCATTGTTATCATAGGTACTATTGTATTATTTATTATTATTATTAGTGTTGTAATTATTGTTGTTATGTTACTGTTATCATCCATTAGCATTAGTATTACTATCATATTAATTATTGGTGTTATGATTAGTAGTATGATCATCATCATTATCATCATTATCGTTATTATTAAGTTGTATTTTATTATCACTTTCTGATTATTATCATTATGATGATAATTATTAATATTGTGACCATTATTATTATATTATTATCATCATTATCATCGTTATCATAATTTTTTCTCGCGCAAAAGACAAGAAAAATATTGACCAAAAAAACACAAACCTAAATAGAAAAAAGAAAATTGTTGATAATAAAAAAAAAATAAAAAATAAAAAATAAGCATCAACGTATCTACATACCTATACATACATAAATAGAAAAGGTAAAAAAATACCTATACATATATAAATAAGAAAAGGGGAAAAAAATACCTATACATATATAAATAAAGAAAAGGCAAAAAAAAAAAAAAATGCTCACCGGACAGACAGACAAAAGAGACAACTCCCGCGCCATTTTCGAGCAACGAGACAAAGAAATCATCTCATAATAAATAATTTGCAGTGTTCATCGGCAGAAGTTCGCCATCAGTCACTCGAGCCGAACGACAGATATATTAAGAGTATAATATAACTTTAGTTCGAAACCCTTTCAGTCGGTCGTTACTCGTCGAGGATCACGACCCGAGTAATGGGCCCTCCTCAAAGCTGGATGTTTATATATATATATATATATATATATATATATATATATATATATATATATATATATATATATATATATATATATATATATATATATATATATATATATATATAACTATTAATATATATATAATATATATATATATATATATGTGTGTGTGTGTGTGTGTGTGTGTGTGTGTCTGTGTGTGTGTGTGTGTGTGATGTCTTATATATATATATATATATATATATATATATATATATATATATATATATATTATATATAATTTAATATATTAGTATATATTATATATATAATATATAATATATATATATAATATATATAATATGTATGTATATATATACATATATACATATGTATACCACATATACATGTATTAACACATACATAAGATAGAGATAGATTAGATAGATAGATAGATAGATAGATAGATAGATAGATATGATAGATATAATATTCATATATGTGTACATATATATGAATATATATGCATAAACACGAGAGGAGCCGCATCTGGCCGCTTCTGTTCGCCTGACATCTACTTCGCCGTAACTCTCTTGGCCGCGAGTCCTTCCGCACTGACAGTTAGATAAACGCCGCAGTCTTTTGTTTACGAGGTCTTAACAAACACGTGTTACTGTAGACGCCAGGTGTGGAAGTTTGGTTGGCGTTCGGAGCTTCGGAATCTTGGTTTCGAGTCATTTTAGGGGATATTGGTACTTCTCGGTGTGGGGAGTGGTTGGCGCTTCGGTGCTTCGGAATCTTGGTTTCGAATCATTTGCGGAGAAATTAGTTCTTCCTCAGGTGTGCAGGTTCGAAGCTTCGGAATCTCGACTTTGAATCCTTTTCGGGAAATTTGTACTTTACGGTTTACGTGAGGCGAGGGAATGTGGGTCAGGTTTTTTTTTAAAGATGTATATTAAAAGGTTTCGGTTGTCTCATTTGCATTTTGAGTTTCAGAGAGGATCGGTAGTGAGATGCTTATGTTTTTTTTTTTCCCCTTTCTTCGCTTTTCTTCTGTGTAGAGTCTTAGAGACAGAATGGACAGGACAGTGCCTTTTTCTCTCTTCATCTTCGTCTTTTCTCTTACTCTTTCTCCTTCCTTTCTTCGATATTATTATGATATTCTTTGTCTACATCTTCTATTGTTAATGTTTATATTATATTATCATATATGTGTTTCTTCCCTCCTCCCTCCTTTCTCCTCCTCTTCACCTACCTTTTTCTTTCTATTTTTCTCTCTCTCTCCATCTCCTCGTTTTTTTTCTCTCCTTCCTCCTTCACATCGGCTTCTCCTCTCTATCTCTCTCATTCCCTTCTCTTCCTCCCCTTCTCTCCAGAATCTCCTCCTTCTTCTTTTTTCTTCTCCCCTCGTCTCTCTCCTCCTCCTCCGCTCTTCCTCCTTCCTCCGCTCCTCCCTCTCTCTCTCCCCTTCCTCTTCCTCCTTCTAACTCCCCCTCCTCCTTTCTCCTCTCTCTCCTCTCCCCTCCTTCTCTCTTCCTCTCTTTCGCTCCCTCCTCCCCTACTTCTTTCTCTCTCTCTTTCCCTCTCCTCCTCCTCTCCTCCCCCTCCTCTCTCTTCTCTTCCTCCTTGCTCTTTCTTCCTCTTTTCTTCTCTTCTAACTTCTCGTTTTTTTCTTTTGTTATCTTGGGAAGTGAAGGCCGAGGGGCCTTACTGCGATCATGGCGAGCCGTCTCTTACCACGTTCGAAAGCTGAGGAGAAGAGGAAAGAGAAATAGGAAGGAGAGGAAGAGGGAAGGAAGATGGAGGAGAAGAAGGGAAGAAAGGATGAAATAGGTGGGGATGGAAGAATGAGAAAGGACGAAATGGAGAGATGGAAGGAAAGGGGAATAGAAGGGGAAGGAAAGACAATGAGAGAAGGCAGAGGAAAGGTACTAAATAAGAAGGAAGAGAAGAAGAAAAAAAAACGAGGAAGTAGGAAAGGAGAAAATAGGAAGAGAAGAGGAAAAGGGAAAGGAAGAATGGAGGAGGAGAAGAAAAGGGATTGGAGAGGAGAGGAGGGAAAGAAAGAGAAGAGAGGAGAAGAGGCTAAACAAGAAAATGACGAAAGAAGAAGGGAAAAGGAAAGAACAAAGGAGGAAGGAAAGATAAAAAGGAAAGAAGGGAAAACAGGAAAAAGGAAGAAAAGGAGGAAAGAAAGAAAGAAAAAAGGGGAGAAAAAAAGTGAAAGATAAGAAAGAAGAGAAGATAAGAGAGAAGAAAAAGAAAAAGGAAGAGGAAAAAAGAGAAAGAAGAAGGAAGAGGGAAAAGAAAGAGGATAAAAGAGAGGAGAGAGGAAAGGAAGAAGAAAAGAGGAGGATAGAGGAAAAGAAGAAATGAGGATAAAAGAGGAGTAGAAGAAGAGGATAAAAGAGGAAGTAGAAGATAAAAGATAGGAAGAGGAAGAAGAAGAAGAGGATAAAAGAGAAAAAGGAAGAGAAGAAGAAAAAAGAGGATAGAAGAGAAGAAGAGAGGAGAAAAGAGGAAGAAGAAGAAGAAAGGAAAGATTGGGAAGAAGGAGAACAAAAAAGAGGAAGAGAAGAAGAAAAAATCCCTAACTCCCTTTTTCGAAAGCCCGTGGAAGAAGGAGAAGAAAGGATAAGAGAAAAAGACAAAAGAGAAAGAGGAAGAAAAGGAAGAAAAGAAGAAAAAGAGAAAAGAGAACTCTCGAACTTCCTTTGCGAAAGAATGAATTAAAAAAATGTGGGAGGAGGGAAAGAGAAAGAAAAGGAGGGGGAAGAAGTAAAAGAGAGAGAGAGAGAGAGAGAGAAGGAAGAAAAAATAATAACAAAACCAGA